ACATACATACGTACATAGATACAAACATATGTATATATGTATATAAAGATATATTATACATATGTATACATAACACACAACACTTTATTGAAAGGGGTTGTGGGCTTCCCTGGACTCAGATCCTCTTCCGCATGCCGCACCTCTGCGCGATCCGGAAAGCGAACTCGGATTTTGCCCTCTGCGTCTGCGGCGGACTCGGCCTCAGGTAATGTAGCGGCCTTAATAGTTCGAACAGGGTTTTGGGGTATATGATACTATAAGTTATAAGAAGGAACCCCCCAAAATAATGTAGGTAATGATTTAGGCCCCAACATTACATACTCCTCGCCCTGAGGAACCAGCAGTGGGGTACGTACCCACCAATTAGGGACTTCAGGATAGTTTTGTAGGTTAGTATTTGGGGAGTACATGGTATAGTTAAGTGGTTGGTCCCCTAGAGTTGTGCTCAATAAAGCACCTCAATCTCAACAAGGGTGTCAATACCATATATTTATGTGCTCTTGTGTCCCTAGTAGAGCCGCTTGGGGAGAGGCTGTACAGTAGGGTTTAGGTTCGAGGTTGCGGCTTTCAGGCCCCTTCACAGCCCATTCCAACCATCAAAGGCCTGAACCTGAACACTAAAAGTCCTGTAACAACTTTATTACACCCATGCAAACCTTTCGAAACAACCCTGAGAGTTGGCCTACCAACGGCACGAATTGCTGAGAAGGCTCAGGGCTAATTCAGGGTTCTCGGGTTTCGGATTCAGGATTTAGCTTAGGGTTGGAGGGTTCCGCATTCAAGAGGCGTTTAGTTTGGAATTCCACAGAGTCGGAAACTAAAAGCGAAACATGACATTGGCCCGAGGCTGCTGCAACGGCCCGTCGTGAGGCACCCTCGAAGCAGACAATTCGTTCAGGGCAGTGCGGTATTGGTTAGGCAAATGCCCCTTAAAAGGAACAGTTGCCACAAGCGGCTAGCGTGGGTAAACTAGATGGCTATTGAGCCGCTAAAGCCTAAACTCTAAACCCGTTAGGTCGGCTTTCGAGCCATCGGGGTGGCTTGGCGTGCAGGCTTGCTTCGGACGTGGAGCAGGTTTACAAGCAGCACTCAAGACAAGAGCGGTTCTGGTAGCACAGGTACGCAAGGCGCACGCAACAGGATGGACAGTTGAGCTAATGTAGGGGCCTTAGCAATGAGGCTAGGGACTTGCGGCATTTTATACTAGAGTCATCAGAAGGATTAAGAAGCCTCAAGGAATTCCATTACTGACTATGAAAATCCCCTGCATCATTTAGGATTCTGGGCGATGTGCTGCTGTTGTTTAGCGCTTACAGCAAGCAGTGCATGCAGAGGCCTTGCGTAGCGCGTTTAGCACAGTGGGCTTTTACAAACTTCACGGAGCAAGGGCCGAACACGTACGTGATAAATGAAGGTTAAAAACACGTCATATGCACAGTGGCCCCGAAGAAACTGCAACCCTCTGAAAATGGAGCCTGCCTGCCGTGTCTCATGATCCTTCAAGTATTCTTGCTGCAGTCTCCCCGCTGGCCTCCCAGAGCACACGGACCTGCCGACCTCCGATATTGGACTGACTTCAGCGTTTAGGGCTGAGCTGGAGGGTTTGGGGTTTAGGTGGAGGGCCTACTGTTCCGGGCAAGACGACTTTGCTTCGTGGGTGATGTCTGTAAGTCCGGGAGGCTGTCCCATGTGTCATGTCCTTCTAGTGGGGCTTGCGCTGTGAACTTGTCAAGTTTCGTCGGAACGTCCGCATCATCCTAAGAAACAAAACTCAAACTCGAGACTCAAAACTCTACATCCGAAGTGCCAGGTCGCAGAAACCTGAACCCCTTGCCAAACCTAAAAACTTGTAGATATGTCAACTTCAAATTTAGGACTTAGGATGTCTTAGGGTACGAAGGGCTTGAGGTTTCGACAACCTCTTACAGGTATCATCCGGGCCTGCCACAAGTTTGCACGGTACCGTTTTAACGCACCCTCTCTGACACTAACAGGCGTTTGGTGCGCTTTTTTCAGGTCTTCGGGCAGCGGGTTTTTTTTCTGGGCTTTGAAGTAACCAGGGAGAAAAAGGTATAGACTTTATTTCATAATGGTTCCTTTAAGGAACAGGTCCCCCAAAAACTATGAAAGTATGGCACTCCAAAGCCCAGTTTTGGGAGCTTGAGGCTTTGGGGCTGATTGCTGTGGGGTGCAGGGCCTTGGGGTTTGAAGACCATAGGTTTAGGGCTTAGGGTTTCGGGTTTCGGGTTGAGGGTTTAGGGTTTAGGGGTTTAGGGTTTCGGGTTTAGGGGTTCAGGGTTTAGGGGTTTAGGGTTTCGGGTTTAGGGTTTCGGGTCGAACTTTCGTTGCGAAGCCCAGTTCGGAGATTACAAGATTTTGCAAGATTTTCTGGGCTGGGCTTGCGGGCATACGGTTCATCGAAACCCAGAAGTTCCTGTTCTCGACTTCTGAACCCTAGACATCCTAAATCCCAAATTGTAAACCCTAAGCCCTATAAAACATAGGCCCTAAATCCCAAATCTAAACCCTAAACCTTATAAATCATAGGCCCTAATTGCCAAAATCTGAACCCTATACCCCAAACGTATGAACTGGGATGACGTGGATCCTCCACATAAACGGAGACATCGTTTGGGAGCCTTGCAAGAGTAAGCTTGCAGAGACAGCGGTATCTGAAAGGGGCTCTGCTTTCCAACCCATTGAGCTAATGTAGGAACCTGATTGAGAAACCCTGGCCCTATAACCCCAATATATTCGGGTTCATACTAAGAACCCTAATAAAGGCCCAGAGTTTCTTAATCAGGTTCCTACATTATCTTAAACAGAGACCTTCTCTTGAAGGATCATGGGCCTCAACATGCAAGATGGTTTAGGGTTTAGGGTTTAGGGGTTTAGGGTTTAGGGTTTAGGCTTTTCTGGCATGTTCGACGATTCGACGTCTTAGCAAGGAGGGAATGAAGTGATCGTAGCCTGATTCGGGGCTCTGTAACTACTTGCCACCCAGCACATAACCTAATTACTATGTCCCGTGGTCCTTCAAGTAGGCGTTTTTGAATTTGAGGGTTTGGGAGCTTGGCTATTTAAAGGCTGCATCATTAGTGTTGTCTGATAAGCGCATGTTTTGCCACTTCGGGCTGGTGCAATCTCATGACCATAAGCTGCGGTGTAGGACTAATGTTGAAATCAGTAAGCGAATGCTTTGTCGGCTGTTCAGGGTTGAGGGTTTGTGTACGATTTACGTCTTAGCACTGAGTTTCTACGCTTGAACCCCGAAAAGCACACGGGCCTTCGCTAACCATGCTGCCGGAAGCGCGGGGGTGCAAAGGACTACTACACGTGGGCTCTCGGATGCCCTGTCTCAAGTTTCTTGTGAGCCATAAGGAAACCCTAAACCCTAAGCCCTAAACCCTACGGTACAAGGTTAGGGTTTGAGATTCTTCCCTGCCCTATGGCTACTCCTATCCAGGGACTCCACCTGAGATTCAGCATGTGACCTCCGGACAGAAGACTAAACCCTAAACCCTAAACCCTAGACCCTAAACCCTAAACCCTAGGTGCATGGACAAAGCTTGGAGCTAAATCAACCCTAAACCCAAAACCCATATTTTTTGCGACAAAGGGGATGCTTGCTGAATGAAGCCGACATCCGTGTGGGAAGGCTTCAAAACCTGGGCCCCGGTCCTGCCATGTGTTGCCAACAGCTGCGGATAAAGGGTTTAGGGTTTAGGGGTTTAGAGTTTAGGGTTTAGGGGTTCAGGGCCTTTTAGGGTGCATCCAATATGGCAAACACCTATAAATACTGGAGCTGACGCACTCTCACTCAGCCTACATCAACAATCACCTGAATGAACACTCCAAGCCTCTAAAGCTTTGAAAGCACGATCCATACAATACTTAACCCTAAACCCCAAACCCTAAACCCTAAACCCAAAACATCTAAAGCCCCATACAACTCAGCGGCCCGAACATGGCCGGCATGGGGGCGGCGGACCTTTCTGTCGTTCGAACATCTCCACCAGTGACCTGAGTCCCGGGCATCGATAAAGACATGAGGGTTTAGGGCAAAGCTGCTTGTTAAAGGGATTCGCGGGCTGTGCGACGAAAGATTCCTGCCATCTTGATGAGTATGCCATGATGGCGACTAATGCGACGAATATCGTCATTACATTACAACCCCGATGACCATAACTATACGATCACATTCAGTCTTGTTGTCACTAGTGCATTAACTTGTCGGCAACCGTTCTCTGAATTTTGCACCCCCTTCTGGGTTCAAATTTTCGGTGTCGGTGACAAACTAGATTAGACCCTGCAATAAAAAAAAGAGGGAAGTCCTCAGAGATCCTTAAGTTAACTAGAGTAGCTCGAGTAGAATGAGGGTTTAGGGTTTAGGGAATATATCCCCAAACCCTATTCTAGCTTCTAACAGCCCTATGTTCGAGCTGTTCGGGTGTTGTCACATGGGCATGTTGCGTTTGTACCCTGGTGCTTGGGGTATGCAGCAAGGCTGAGGGTTTCTCAGGACCCAAGCGCCCTCTAGTAGAACCCCGTATGTACCCTAAACCCTAAACCCTAAACCCTAAACCCTAAACCCTTATAATAGGGGGAACTTGATAGGTGCCCTACACTTCAACCCAGAAAGCCCTGCACCGAAAAGGCCTGAGATTCTAAAACCCTGGCCCTTCTGTGCCATCTCCCCTGCACCTGTAAACCCCTAAACCCTAAACGCCCAAACCCCCAAACCCTAATTTAGGGTTTAGGGTTTAGGGTTTAGGGTTTAGGGTTTAGGGTTTAGGGTAAACCCTAAATCCCGAAATCCTACACCCCCTAAGTCCCGAAGCCCAAGAACCCCAACCCCTAAATCCCCAAACCCTGAATCCCTAAACCCTAAACGCCCAAACCCCCAAACCCTTATGGAAGGCGCCGGGCTCTCGAGTTTCTCGCCCTTCTTCCAGACCACCGGCGTGCGGATGGGAAAGTAAATGGGAAACCTCGAGCTAAGGGTTTAGGGTTTAGGGTTTGGGGTTTGGGGTTTCGGGGGAAAATAAATGGGAAACCTCGAGCTAGCGTGGGTTCGGGGGTTCCTGTAAGGGTCTTACAATTTCCTACAAAGATTTTCTTCAGGGGGTTAAGCATAAGGGGCCTTAATTGAGTATGTGTCAGGATTCTGCACTCCATGGAATGGGAAACTTCCATTCAGCGATCCTTTTAAGCTCAACGTGTCGGGTATCTGCGTGAGGCGTGGGGGAAACCCAGAGACTCCAATACCCCTTAATTAAGGAATATACCATAAATTATAGTAGAATCCCTAGCCAGATTTAAGGTCTATTCCCTAAACCCCTAAACCCTAAACCCTAAACCCCTAAACCCTAAACCCCTTAATTAAGGGGTAGTGGAGTCTCTGGAAAGCGGGTCTTGAGGCCCAAACCTTCTTCCGCTCAGCTCGGGGCTTTCGAGCTTTGGAGCTTTTGGGTTTAGGGTTTAGGGTTTAAGGTTTAGGGTTTAGGGTTTAGGTATAACGGTATAACCCTAACCCCAAACCCCAAACCCTAAACTCCATATAACCGTAACCTCAAACCCGAAACCTCAAACCCTAAACCCCAAACCCTAAACCCTAAACCCCATATACCCCGAACCCTAAACCCCAAACCCTAAACCCTAAACCCCATATAACCGTAAGCCCAAACCCTAAACCCTAAACCCCATAATATGACCGCAACCCCCAAACCCGAAACCCTAAACCCTTTAGGGTCTCAAGCTTCGGGTGCGGGGTGTCGGCTGGTAGAAGTCCATCGAATCTCCGAGCCGATGCGACGGCTTCCACCAGGATCCGCGCATGGCTGGGGCTTTAGGGTTTAGGGTTGAGGGTTTAGGGTTGAGGGCTTAGGGCTGAGGGGTTTAAGGGTTTAGGGCTGAGGGGTTTTGGGGCTGAGGGTTTCGGGGTTTAGGGTTCAGGGTTGAGGGTTTAGGGTGTACATTGGAAGCAGAAGCCATTAAGCAAGGGGAGAAAAGGCGATCGGAGAAAGTGGAAGCAAGATCCTCAGCAACTAACCGTCAACATCCAACATACTCCGGTTGATGATATAAATCCTGCATTACCCATTTGGGGTTTAGGGTTTAGGGTTTGGGGTTTAGGGCTTGGGGTTTAGTGTGATGATATAAATCCTGCATTACCCCTAATCAGGAATATACCATAATTTCCATAGTTTAGGGTCCCTAAGGTATTGCAGGATTTGTATCATCAACCGTCGCTATTTCTGGAGGTTATATTCCAGGCCAACACTAAGCCCCAAGTTTGTGCAATGTGTTTCTTTCCTTTTTCTTTGTCCTAGAGGTCTACAGAGGTCTCGATTTCATGCGGCAAGCAAAGAGCGATTGAAAACAGGGCTTTGGCTTTTCGAATTCAAGGCTGACTAAACCCTAAACCCTAAACCCTAAACCCTAAACCCTAAACCCAAGCCCTAAACACTAAATGAACCCTGAGCCCCTGGGATGTTGACGGCTTTTGGGTGCTTTTGGGGTTGTGGAGCTCTGGACGGATTCAATTGCTCACGGGCTCAGGGGCCTAAAGGGTGTAGGGTTTAAGCGTTGAGGGGTTTCAGGGTTTAGGGCTTTCCAAAACCCTAAACCCTAAACCCTATAAGCCCTATAAGCCCTATTATAAACCCTGTAAACCCTATAAGCCCTATAAACCCCATAAGCCCTATAAGCCCTATAAGCCCTATAAACCCTATAAACCCCATAAGCCCCATAAGCCCTATAAACCCTAAACCCGAAACCGGCTTTAGGGCTTAAGCGGTTTTGGCTTTGGGGCTGTTGAGGCCAGGTTTCGACCTCAGGCTCCGGCCAGGAAAACATGCCTTCCGAGTAGGACTCCGGATTGATGGACACGCTGAGGCCTGCTTAGGGGTTTAGGGTTTAGGGGTTTAGGGTTTAGGGGTTTAGGGGTTGAGGGCTTTAGGGTTTAGGGCTTTAGGGCTTTAGCGATCTAGGCTTTTAGGGTTTATAACACTCACTGGGAGATTCTACGCAGAATCAGAAATACTTACTTCTCCAAAAAAACTCTAGTGAAAAAAACAAACTTTGAGAGTAAAAGGAACTGATAATTGCACAAAAAGCCGAAAGGTTGGGTGACCAGCTGGGCGTTGGAGAAAGGAGCAAGGATGCTGTAAATCCCCCAGTCACCGGATATTGGGAAAGAAGGGCTAGCGTTTTGTATGGCACGGGGGACCTACCAGACTTCTGCGTCGCCTAAGGCTTTCAGCTCCGCGGCCAGTTAGGGCTTTGAGGTGTTACGGTTTGGCACTTCGGAGTTCTCGAGGTTTAGGGTTTAGGGTTTAAGGTCTTAGGGTTTAGGGTTTTTTGGGCTTTTAACAATTTCGGGGCTTCAAGGGTTCCGGCCCGAGGACCGTAGAGTCGTCGGGCTTCAGTGTTCAGCTTCTCTTGGTTTGAGGCCGAGCGTTCAGGTGGTGTTAGGTGCTTAGGGTTTAGGTTTGAGGGATTTAGGGTTTGAGGTTTAGGGTTTAGGCCTCACAGTTTAGAGCGAGTCCATACCAGAACGGCCCAAACAAAAATGAAGCAATGTCACTCGCAGCACGGAATCGACACAAGCGAAGGTTGATCCATAATAGCGCCTGTCTCTGTAACCTCTATCCAGCCAAAATGGTTATTCCCTGCAACCCTCATCGAAGCCTACTAGTAGCAAGTAAGCTCAAGCTGAAATGCTCCCAAAAGCCTTCAGTCCTCGATTTCAACCTCTACCCATAGGCCCCATAGTAGTTCCTTTCTGTGGTTTGTATTTAGGATCCTATTAGGTAATCCCAAAAAGGAACTACTATGGGGCCTATGGGTAAACCCCAAGACCCGGCAAACGGCAGAGCTCCGAAGGTTCAACTGAAGCCCCGAAACCCTAAGCCCCGAGCCCTTACCCAAAACCCTCAACCCTAGCCCTTTAAACTGGGTTTAGGGCGTAAGAGTAGGGGTTTAGGGCATAAGATTAAGGGTTTTAAACTCTAAACCCTCAACCCTAGCGCTTAAAAAAACAAAAACGATGCAACGAGGTGGCCTGCATAAAGCTCGCAGTGAAAGTAGCCAGCAAATCCGTGCACCAGGGAGTCAACCTCGTGAGTCTTACTGCCCAATGGGTCGCATGTAGTGCTATAGGGGATACTTCCTGAAATCATACCTTAACCTACCAAAACATACCTTTTTGTAGGGTCCCTATAAACTCCACAAAAAGGTTTATTTTTAAGAACCTACCAAAAAGCAGGTTTTGGTAGGGAAAGGTGTCAGTAATTCCTACCTTTGGGCCCTTTGGGTGAGGTTTAGGATTCCCTTAGTGGGTTCCTGAAGGATCGATGATATAAGGGCCTTGATCATTAATTACGATTACAGTAGGGTCTAGGGTATACTCTTGCATGCTTGCATCAGGGACTACAGGGGAATACTGCTGCTGATGATATAAATCCTGCAGCAGAATTCCCATAGTTTAGAGCAAGTAATGAAGGATTTAAATCATTCAACGGTATTTCTAACTATTCCACCCCGAACAGGAAGGTTTAGGAGCCGCTGACAACTATCCAGTTGGTTGTTCAGGGTTACAGGCTCTGCTGGCAGTCGAGGTCCAGTTCTAGTGGATCTAATCACAAACAATTAGAGTAGGGCTTTGCGGGTATATTGTACTGTAATTATCACAAGGAACCCCCCCAAAAATACAGTAGTATAGGTAATTGTTTAGGCCCCTATATTATCCGGGTCCGCAGCAAGGCACAGAAATCAGGGCCGAACATGGTACAACTGAGACCTAAAGCCTAAACCCTGAAGCAAATCAGAAGAATACTAAACTAACCCATCGCCATGAGTTTAAAGGTCGGCTATCGGAGATCAATGCGGTCTTTGGGCGGTTGAGGGGTTTAGGATTGTGGGTTTATGGGATCGTACTTGCTTGTGATCTCGGCATGGTGGAGTGGGGTTGGTAATTTACTGGAAGGGCGACAGCCAAAAGTATGCGTCTGGATTGGAACAGCAATCTTCTCCCCTACCTTTCGCACACAAAGGTGCCATCTACCGGCCAAACAACTCGCACAACCAGCACCAATGAAACCCAGGTCCAAACCCCACCGAAAACCGTGAGCCTGAACCCGAAGCCCTAAACTCTGGAGCCCGAACAGCATGCCCCAAACCCCTACACCGAAATAAAGATGCGAACCAGCGTTTAAGGGCTGAGTGAAGGAATTCCAAACTGTAGTCTTCAGGTTACAGATGGAGGTTTAGGGTTTGAGGGCTTGGGGTTTAGGATTTTGGGGGCCCTCTGTGACTTAACTTCCGAGCGTCTGAGCATGAAACATAAAAAGCCTAAGCTCATTGCACTGCAAACTCCTGAAAACCCCTAAACCCTAAACCCCTAAACTCCTAAACCCTAAACCCCTAAACCCCAAACCCCCAAACCCCAAAACCCCTAAACCCCTAAACCCTGAACCCTGAGCCCGTGAAGCCTAAGCCTAAACACGGTTTAGGGTTTAGGGGCTAGGGCTTAGGGGTAAGGGGTTAGGGGTTTAGGATTTCATCGTAACCATCCCTATGCCCTAAACTGCTTCTCCAAGCCTCGGAAATAAAATCGATCTGGGCATACCTCCCGGGTCGGCGCAAGTTCGAGACAAGATCAACTGAGAAACCCTGGACCCTAAACCCTTATGCTCAGCTTGGATTTACGGTTTGAGGTTTGAGGCTATACCTTAAACTACCAAAACCTACTTTTTTGTAGGGTCCCTATAGTTGCATATTAGCGTTTACAATCAGAACCTACAAAAAAATAGGTTTTGGTGGGTTAAAGTAAGGTGTACGTAGGTCAACAGCCCAGGACGATTCCAAAGGAATGAACATGGAACTCACGTTGAGTCATGTTTGGTTGAAGATGGATCCGCAGGGGAGTTTCAGAAAACAAAAAGGACGTCGAGTCGGGTAAAGACCCAACATAACGGTAGTCTTATCACAAGGACCTTTCAATAAGGTAGCTCTGCTATTTTGCGAAACCTCCAGGCTGGCTTCTCCCTAAGGTTACTAAGATTCGCGGCGAGGCTTGCAGCAAGGGGATGTATAGCGAACAAATGCTAACCCTGAACCCTAACCCTAAACC